GGAATATACATATTTGTCTGATACTTTCTATCCTGCCCCTGCTACCTGCATGAACTTGAGATAAGCACTTAACTTCAATTCTCTAAGGTGGGGAGTTATTACAACTGTATTCCAATCAAATAAAGAACGCAGAAGAAATGCTTACACATTTGCATATACACTAACCATCTCTCCCAACCCCACCCAGGAGTCCACCCGGCCCACACCCTCCGTAGCCTCATCCTCACCCAGCTCCAGGTAGAGTCCCCAGCTGATGCCTGAAAGCAGTGCCAAGGTAATGAGGTCACCCAGGCTGGCAGCAATGGGAGTGGCCACGTTGTCTGGGTTGATTCCAATCTTTCGAGAGCCAATGATGACCCCAATCATGATCATACCTGGGGAGGAAGGAGAGGAGCCAGGAAGGGTAAGAAGAGGTAGAGGGGTAGCGCACACAAAGAGAGCCTGGAGGTGCCAGGCCCAGGTGACACCTCTGGGGCAGCTCTCCCTACTCCCTTCCCCTCGCACCCTCCTCCCCTTCCCTTCCCTCCTCACCTAGTACCAGGGAGGCAATGAAGGCTGTGGCCACACTGCTGGCACACAGCAGAAAGGCATGCGGGATGCTGAAGTGGCCGTCAGGGATCCAGCCAAAGACGACAGCTGCAATGGACGCCAGGAAGCCCACCACTGTGGCCTGCACCTGAGGGGGGAGTGGTAACTGGAGAGCACTGGGAGCAGAGAGCTTCTTAGCTGAGACCTTGTCCTGCCTCTCTGCAGCCCAGGAGGTAGGTGGGGCGGGACCGTCCAGTCCTTCCAAGCGGGAATGATGTCTTTGTTTGTTTAGTTTCACACCAGACACTAGTACTGTGCAGTGCACCCCGCAGGAGTCCAGGACATGTTACTGGTGGAATGAGTGTTCCTCTGGGGACTGGGGTGAGGTTCAATGGCGCCTAGGACTTCAGCCCAGAGACAAGGCTTGGGCCTCAAGGGGACATGAGACGAGGGCGGCCAAGGACATTTCAGCACTCTGGTGTTCGGAGTCTGATCTGTGGGGACATGAGCCCCCTGCAGCACTGGGAGCTGAGAACTGACACTGAGATGCCGAGTTTCTTGGCTGCTTTCCTGGGAAACCTGGTTCCCTCCTAAAGCTGCTTTCGGAGAAGCCAGCTCGGCAGGACGCCGGAACTTCACCCGGGGCCCAGCTGGGGCTGCCCAAGCTTTTCATCCCTGACCAAGGAGGACGCCCAGCCCAGTCTCTCTGGTTCCTGCTGTCTTACCTGAATGAGGGCCATGTTCCCAGTGATCATCCGCCAGAGCTCCTTGGGTGTGTCCATGTGCCCGATGTTGGCCTGGGAGAGGGAGGACAGGGGGCTGGAGCTCCAAGCTGGAAAAGGCCTGCAGCTCAGACCATTAGCATCCAACTGGCTCAGGAAGCAGTGCATGCGCCCTAAGACTCTGGGACTAGAACATGACCCCATGGAGAGTGAAGCAGGAATTGGGGGGCTAGAGTGAGAGGGAAGGGGCTCCTTGCGCTCCTGTGGCGGGTGGTGGCAGGAAGGGGGCTCCTAAGGCAGTCTCCTCCTCTCAGGAGAGCTGCTCCCGACACCTGCCCACCCCAGACTGCACCCTCTGCCCCGCTCATCAGGACAGCCCATTCCTGCATAGGTGAGAATGGCCCGATGGACCCCCAGCTCTGAAGCCCGTTTGCTGTCCTAATAACGAAGGAAAGATTAGCTGCTGGTGCAGGACTGTGGCCGCAAGTGTATTTGGGAAGGAGTGAGGAGGCACAAGAGGCTAGGAGCAGGGCAAGTTGGGGCAGAGCAGGCTGGCTACCACTTCTCTCTGCTGCCTTCTCCAGACTGGGGGCCATGCAGGGACATCTCTGCCACCTGGTTCCCTGCCTCCTGAGTTTTATTGCCTCCCACCTCCTACCCCCTGGTCCTGTATCTGGTCCAGCCTTTGAACTGTCAGGGCCGATCTAAGGGGTTTGAGAGGTGGGGGTGATGAGCACCCCTCCCCGGCTATTCCTTCAAAGCCAAGGGGGAAAGGGAATGGGATGGGAGAGGCGGGGCAGGCCTGGCTCTGCTCCGGCCCAGCTGCAGAGTAGGGCTGGAGATCAGAGGCGGCCCCCATCTGTGCAGGTGGAGGGACCAGCATGATGCTTGCCTGTCAAAGCTGCATAAACAGTCACGAGGCGGGTTGCAAAACAGGACGGGGGAGGGGGCAAGCGTCCAGGGACGGCTGAGACATCCAGAAACCGAGCCTGGGAACCACTCGAACAGGGAGCCCCTGCCAGGAGCAGGACACCCGGCCCGGGATCTCCCTACACCTGCCCACCCCAGCCCCACACCCCAGGCCTGGGCGGCCGAGGAGGCCAGTAGCGATCTCCCGGCCTGGCTCCGTGCTGCCCAGCGTCCTGCATGCCCCAGTCCTCCCGGCCAGGACACTCACTGCGGTGGACAGCCTCGATGCCAGGGTCATTTCCAGGTTCCCCTTCAGCCCGAGCAGTGCAGGCACCAGGATGAAGACCTCTGTCACCTTCTGGAAGACTTCCCAGTGCTACAAGGTGAAAACAGACCTCAGGAATTTCAGTGCCCCAAGGGGCCGGCTTCGAGGTTGAACAGATAGTCAGGAATCAGGAGGGCTTGAGGAGGAAGTGGGATCAGCAGGGAGTGAGCACATCAGCGACTTTTCCTCCAAGAACCCTGGAACCAAACCAAGCCCATGGTGCTCCAAACAACACAGTCCCCCCATTCTCCCCTCCCCCGACCCCCCACCACCCAGAACAGGGGAGATGTAGATGTAGAGGCTTCTCTGGTCAGGAGACCCTAGCCTGGCTCTACTTCCACTGCCTTCTATTCGGCCAGGGGGAAGAGAATGGTGAAGAGCCACACAGCTGAATCGTCCCAGGTGGCTGACACCCCAAGTTCCTTTGAGATTCCCCCTCAAATCGCAATCCCCAACCCCTCTGCCTTTAGTCCGTTTTCTCTGCGGCCTCAGCCTCGGGTAGTGTTGTCTCAGCTGTTGAGAGCTGGGCTCCACGGGGCCGAGGAGATTAGGGTTTGTTTGGTTTCTATCTCTAAGGGCTCTGGGCCTCAGCCATCGCAATGTTCCTTCTGAACAGGGTCTGAATTAAGACCGTGGTCCCCACACCTCAAAATGCTGGTCTGCGAGAGGCGTTTTATCTTGCCTCTGCACTCTCTCACCCTACATACTTCTCCCAACCCAGGGGTGGGCAAACTTTTTGACTCGAGGGCCACAATGGGTTCTTAAACTGGACCGGAGGGCCCGAACAAAAGCATGGGTGGAGTGTTTGTGTGAACTAATATAAATTCAAAGTAAACATCATTACATAAAAGGGTACAGTCTTTTTTTTTTTTTAGTTTTTTTCTTTTCAAACACGCCCGACTCCGGCCCGCGGGCCGTAGTTTGCCCACAGCTGTCCCAACCTCTCAGCGAGGAGACGCGAGTGCACCCCTGCAGGGAGAGACGGGTTCTAACCCGACACTGTTAGGCCTGGCTCGCCCCAGGTCCTCCAGCAAACATCTATCATGCAGACGGTGCGAGGCCAAGTGCTCTACATGCATTTTCCATTCCACCCTATCAACAGCCTAGTGAGGTAGGGGCTATTTTTAAGCCCATTTGGTAAATGAGGAAACAGGTTCAGAGAGCATTACACCCATTAGTGCTAAGGGGGAAAAGTGGGAGCCAGGACTGGCTATCTGAAAGCTACTTTAGTGGCAGCTGAAACGGAAGACTTGTGAAAAAGGCTGGGATTGCGGCTCCCTCCCTGGCCTTGGCAGCAACGTGGGTTCCTTTATTTGTTTTGAGAATGAAAAGAGTTCAACTTTGGGGAGGGAGGAGGTGGCAGGTGACCAGGCAGAAATACAGAGGCTGAGGCAACGTGCTGTAATGTCCTGGACTGACAGCCTTAGATCTCCCACAAGACACCCCAGGGAGGGGCCTCACGCTGTCTCTCCAACATCCTCCCCACATTGACCAGGGGGGACCTTAGGCAAGTTTCAAGGACCTCAAGTTACTGACTATAAAATGTACAATTCAGGGACCAGATCAAAGGGTCTCTAAAGGCAATTCCAGCACCAACCCTCTAGAGTTAAGGATGAGCAAGGTTGCAAATCAGACCGACAACAATTAGGATGGCTACTATTAAAAAAAACACCAGCCCTACCCAGTTTCGCTCAGTGGATAGAGCGTTGGCCTGTGAACTGAAAGGTCCCAGGTTCGATTCCGGTCAAGGGCACATGCCTGGGTTGTGGGCTCCATCCCCAGTGGGGGGCTTGCAGGAGGCAGCCAATCGGTGATTCTCTCTCATCATCTCATGATTCTATTGCTCTCTCCCTCTTCTTTCCTCTCTGAAATCAATAAAAATATATTAAACAAACAAACAAAAAACACCAAGACCTCAAGTGTTAGCAAGGATGTGGAGAAATTAGAACCCTTATGACTGTTAGTGGAAATGCAAACTGATGCAATCACTATGGAATGTAGTATGGCGATTCCTCTAACAATTAGAATAGAATCTATCACATGATCCAGCCATCTCACTGCTGGGAATATATCCCTAAGAGTTGGAAGCAGTGTCTCAAACAGACCTCTGTACACCCAAGCTCATAGCAGCATTAATCACAATAGCCAAAAAGTGGAAACAACCCATTGGTAGATGAGTAGATAAATAAAATGTGGTATATACATACAATGGGATATTATCTGGCCTTTTTAGGAGATGTATCATGTCACCTGCGACGACACTGATGATGAACCTTAAGGACATTGTACTAAGTAAAATAAGCCAGACACAAAAAGACAAACACTTCTGTATGTATCTAAAGAAGTCAAACTCATAGAAATAGAAAGTAGGATGGCGGTACCAGTGCGTGGGAGCAGGGAGAAAAGGGGAGCTGGTGTGTTTCATGGGCACAGAGTTTTCGTTTTGCAAGATGACAATGTTCTGGAGATGGGAGGTGGTGATGGTAGCATAACAATGTGAATGTACTTAGTACTACTGACCTGTGCATTCAAAAGTGGTTAAAATGGTAAACTTTCTGCACACCCCTTACTGGGGATCCAGCCTGCAACCTGGCATGTGCCCTTGACCTAAATCGAATCTGGGACCCTTCAGGCCGCAGGCCAACGCTCTATCAACTGAGCCAAAACGGCTAGGGCTCAAACATATATTTTAATTGATTTCAGAGAAAGGGAGAGGGAAGAGAGAGAGACAGAAACATCAATGATGAGAGAGAATCATTGATTGGCTGCCTCTTGCACGCCACATACTGGGGATTAAGCCCACAACCCAGGCATGTGCCCCGATAGGGAATCGAATTGCAGCCTCTCGGTTCATAGACTGACACTCAACCACTGAGCCATGCTGGCCGGGCACGTGTGCGCTCATCTCATTAGGGCTTATCTATCCTTACCTGGGCTCTCGGCCTGGCCCCTCACAGGTGAAGGGCCTAGGACTCTCTTTAGGGAAGTCCTCTCAGAAACCCTCTTCCCTGCACCCCCTCTCCCCCAGGAACAGTTGCTGAGCTTCCAGGCACCCACAAGAAGAGCCTCCCCCTCCAAATGCTGGAAGGGTTCGAATCCCTTCTCATCCCAGGGCCTGAGAGAGGGGCAGCCACAGTGAGCCACGTGAGCCCGGGAGGAGCTCGGGGCTGTCACTTTTGGATGCTGTGCATAACCCTGGGGTTCCAGGTCCCTGCAGGCCCGGCCTTGCTCTGCTCACCTCCTCTTTCCTCACCTAAACTGGACAACAGTTCAGAGAGGGAAGAATTCCCCTCTCCTCAGGAGGGTGGCCAACTGTGGGCTTTTAAAGGCCTCTCTAAGCACAGCCCCCCCCCCCCCCCCCCCAGCTCTGTTCTCCAAGAGGTGTATGTAATGCATATGCACTGGCCGAGTGAAAGAGGAAAGAACCCGGAAAGAAATGCTCTGAGTGTTTGCAAGTAATAGTTTCTGAACCATTTCCAAGGACTATTGTTTGTCTTTATAATCATTTAAGAAAAATAATATATGAGGCTCAGCTAAGCCCCCCTGGCAGCCACTATCAGCATTCCCCAAATGCGCCCCCCCCCCCCGCCCCTACCTCTCTTCTTTTAATTACACAAGGACCGAGAAGATGTAGGGTTTTCATAGTGCGAAGAAGAGGAGAGACAGGCAGGCGGGGGGAAAAGCAGCCACAGTAACAGCCCCTATGCAATCCCCTAATCCGCATAGCACACAGCAACCTCAGGAACCCCGAGCCCAGCCCGGTGAAGCCAAGCTGGCCCTTGGGTCAGAGCAGCCAAGTCCTACACACCTGCTTTCTTTACCCACAAAACCCTCTCAAAGACGCAGCTCAGGGCGCGCACACACAGAGCCCTGGGAAGAGATGGTGACGTGGGGCAGCCTGGAAGCAGTCGGGAGCCCGTAGGACTCTATGTGGCAGGGCGGACAGGGCCTCATTCAGGCCCAGCCTGTTCATCCTGGCTGGGAGTGCCTGCCCGCGAAGTCGAACCCGTCAGCCCTGTCAGCCCAGCCTTCAGCCAAACCTTCACCCACGCCTTCCTGCTCTGCTGGGGTTGGAGAAGGGTGCGTTCCAGGAAGCAGGGCCCCACTTTGGGGGGGCGGGGGGAGGGAGGGGGGCCGATCTACACATTTCACTGCTTCTCAGAAATGCAGCTCCTTTTCCAGTTCTTTCCTATGGAGGTGGGGCTCACGGTCCCTGATATTCTGGGGGTGAGGGATGAGATTGCCTGCCCCACACTCAGAACTAATCCTGATTCAGAGCAATCACCTCAGTGGCCCTGCCAGTCCTCCTCCTCTGTCCTTCCACCCCTCCCCTCCCCCTGCCTGCCTTGGAGTGTTCTGTCCTGAGCCTCCTCTCCCCTGGAGGGTAGCAGTGGGGAAGAAAGTCACAGCCAGGAAGAATAGGAGTGAGAACATTAAGACTAAAATCGGTAGAGATAAGCTCTAAGGACGGGCTGAAGGAGACCCTGGGAAGAAGGGCTGGAGTTGACCTTGCAGATCAGATTGGAGTAAGCCCAGTATTCACCTGTCTGAGCCACCCTCCCCGCTACGCACACAACTCTGCAGGTGTCCTCTAGCTGTCCAAGAAGGGCCTCAGGGCAACGCCAGGATAGAGAGAGCTGGACGCTATGAGAAAGGGGTGGTCAAGTGAGATGGAACCGAGTGTCATGCCCTGGAATGCCCACCACCATGGGAGCAGGCCGGGCAGGAGAGAATGCCTTTCCCAATCCACTCGTCCAAGCCCATGCTTGCCATCCACTCTCATCTTTGTAGATGCTCCCACATACGCAGCACGTAGAGAAGCCAGAGAAGGCGGTGCTTGGGGGAGGGGGTCTCCTTTCCTTGGGGTCCTCAGTGAGCGAGCAGTACGTTACAATAAGGACCTCTTAACACAGCTGGGGATTCCAGTGAAGGTGCGCACACCACCTCCTGCCATCCCCATTCCTCAAAAGGCTAACGGAACAAGGGAGTGAGGTGCCCTGCAGCAGCCAGGCCCAAGCTTGGGGGTGGGGCCCAAGGCCTGTGCACCAGGGAGGTTCCCATGTCCCAGTCCACTTCGGTACCAACACTGGGCCCAGTCCTGTTTCCCTCCCAAGTGCTGCAGCCACGGTGGGAAGTGGGAGCAAATCGTAGTCCATTTAGCCTTTTCCTGCTTTTGGTCAGTGTGCCAGCCCCTATCTCACAGCAGAGCTGGCTGTACACAGTGAGTAGAGAGGAGGGCAGATAAGAGGAGACAGAAATGGGCCTTCGAGGAAGAAACTGGGTCTTCCCCAGCAGTGGGGAAAGGTGGGGGGCCCTGGGCCCAGGAAACATCTGCATCAACACGGGCTCTGAGACACTGGGGACACTTTACAGCCACCTCCTCCCCACGGCCCCGGTCTTTAGGAACCCCCAGATGAGGCCCCACTGAAGGCTATCTTAATCTTAGCTTGTGAAAGGGAAATGCAGGTGTGAATCCTTAGACATCACCCTGCTCTTCCGGAATCTGCGATGGTCAGTTGCCCCCTCTTGCTCCCCTGGATACGGATTAAGGATCTCCCTGTGGTCTCATGTCCTGTTCTTTTTGCACCCACTCTCTCCCGTGCTCTCTTCAGCTCTCTGCAGGGCCTGCTCCAGCCCAGCTGTGGTAGGGAGGCTGGGGGAAGGCGACTAGGACAATCCAGCCATTGTCATCCATACCAACTGGGCCTAATTCTGCAGCGAGCTGAGGTGCCACGCCAAGGACAAATTCGGCCCTCTGTGGGTGTGTTGGGCAGGCTCCAGAGGTTCCCTACCTAGACCTCTCAATGTCTCAGGCTTGTAGGGGTCGGGTAGGGGTGAGGCAAGATGTCAGAAGCCTTTTCCAGCTCTACAATTCTCAGAGTATGTGGGAAGGGAAGGCAGGGGGCCCTCTAAGAACTTTTGTTCTTGTTTGTTTTAGAATATAACTCCAATTGTTCCAGATTTCAGTCCACCCTGTTTTTCAGGGGAAGACAAAGAGAGCAGACTCCTCCCAGACTCTTTTTTAAAAAAATATATATTTTATTGATTTTTTACAGAGAGGATGTGAGAGGGATAGAGAGTTAGAAACATCGATGAGCGAGAAATACCAATCAGCTGCCTCCTGCACACCTCCTACTGGGGATGTGCCCGAAACCAAGCTACATGCCTTTGACCGGAATCAAACCTGGGACCCTTCAGTCCGCAGGCCAATGCTCTATCCACTGAGCCAAACCAATTAGTGCTCCTTCCAGACTCTTAAATCAACTGGTGAATCATGGCCATGGTGAAGGCCATAGAGGTTATTGGTCAGGCTCTGAGTCAGATGACCAAGGGCAAGTTACCTAACTGCTCTAAGCCATACGTCCCTATCTACAAGATGGAGATGATTAGCATTTTGAGGAGCCCAGCAAATGCTCCCCATACCCATATCTAGAAAATAAAGACAACCCTCTCCCAGTTCACCATTGGACCCCGGTTCTATACCCTTTGTAGATACCAAATCAGAACTCAAAAACTCTAAAAACTGAGAACCAAGGACCCAGGAAAGGGATGGAAAAGGCGGAGAAACTGCTACCCAACTCTCACCGCACAAGGAGGAGGGGCAGCCACTGGGGGGAATAAGCTGACCTTCCCAGCTCCAAGCTGGCTTCCTCACCCGCATGAGGAACAATTCTCAAGGTAACAGGTTAGGGGTGAGGAGGCAGTACAAGGCACTTTGGCATGACATAAATAACATCCTCGTTAGCCCCTGAAGGTGCAGGGTTCTCCTGAAGGGCTCACGTCAAAGAAGGAACCACCTAGAACCAACTGCCCTCAGTTTCCTGGGACAGGAGCATGGGGAGACCCATCAGCAGGACTCTGCATCACCACAGGCATCATTTGTAGGGTCGGCTTGGCAGGGGAGAGGGATGCTGAGCTCCTGAGATTTCACGGTCACAGACACTGATGCGTCCTAAAGAGCAGCCCTGGTTTTGCTCAGTGGATAGAGCATCGGCCTGTGGACTGAAGGGTCCTGGGTTTGATTTCAGTCACGCCCAGGTTGTGGGCTTGATCCCTAGTAGGGGGTGTGCAGGAGGCAGCTGATGGATGATTCTCTCTCATCATTGATGTTTCTCTCTCTCTCCCTTCCTCTCTGAAATAAATAAAAACATATTAAAAAAACACACACAAAAAACAAAGGCCAGATCTCCTTCAGCCGCAGTATTTGGTATTTCTCTGAATACGTAGGACAAAGCCCAGTACTCAGCAGCAATATTTGCTAGTGATTGACTTAGTTAAATGTGGCATCGTCAGAAAGCTCTGTGTGCCTTATTGTCCTTCAGAAACTTTTATTTAGAAAGAAGACATTACCTATCTCTTGGACCTGGAGGTTTTGGGTAAGTCCTACCTAACCCACAATACACTAATAGAGCATATTCCTGACTCTTCCAGGACCTACCAATTCTTATCCATAATTCTACCCAGTAGCCTCAAAAAGAGTGTTTTTTTTGGGGGGGGGGGCGATAAGGACACATATGTAATACCTTAATTAATTTAAAAAAAAGCGTTCTTTGCCCAAGGCAGGTTCATGAAGACAGATAAGGAGCAAAGACAGTTTTGCCCAAGCCTGGTTACATTTTACCCCCATTTATGTCACAGAATTAGCACTTCTATGTCTTATCACGCCACCCCCCTCCGACCATGCAACAGACAGCATGTGCCCAACCCCATGCCCCAAGATCCTGCCAAGGTTACAGGCAGATAAGCAACACAAAATGCCTTTAAGAACCTTCCCTTTTCATTTGAGACCCTCTTGGCAGCCAGGCAAATTCCTGCCCAGCAGGGGGATGGAAAGGAGACTTGAAACGGAGCTTTCTACTACAGGGTATCCTTGAAACCTCAAGTTAGGGAAAAGAAAGCCTAAAGTAGAGACCCATGGAAATGTCTCCTGCTGAGCCAGGCTTAGCAGGAATCACCAGGAGAAATGGCAGGCAACAGCCCTATTCCATCCGCAGGCAACAGCCCCTTCCCATCGCTCCTCTTCCAAGCCGGAGCTCTGGAACCAGTTCTGCTTCCGTTAAGCAACACTGCCCTGACCACTTCCCTGGGGCTACCGGGCTTCCTCGAGGCGTCTGTAGTAACTAGACCAAGAAGAAACTGAGGCTCTGATCCAAAAGGAAACCGTATTCTAGGAAGCAGCAACTGCTTCCGACTGGAGGTGGAGAGAAAGCGCCAAGAGGCCGTTTCTCAGAAGGACAGATGGCCCCGGGACTCACGGTCAAGAGCTGCCCTCCCCCGGTCCTACCTGTACGATGTCCA